TTTTAAATGGCAAAAATATAATTAAAATAATATTACTTTTTAGATTAGCCACGGAATGTTATGTATAAAATATATATGCACCTTTAAAAGTACAACGCTATGTTAAGGGTTACAATTATAAAGTATTTTCTTTTTTTAAGTCGATTAGAGATTATTAACCTACTTATAAACTAAAGCTACTTATAACTATTTCTTGCTTAAAACGAAAAGTGCATTGGCAAATTACTACTTTATTAATATTATGCTTTATGGTCTTGTCATAATTATTGTTGTACGCATATTTAAATATCACAATATTAGATGTACAAGCCATTTTATTGAACCTTTTATTATTTTTCCTTTTGCAAATGGAATAAAGACTTAAAAAATTGCCTTTAACGAACCCCTTCATAAATATTATGTGTGACGTTCATTTACAACATAAATATGTAGACTTTCTTAACAATATTATTCTACCTGTTTCTTGTATTGAACTCTACGGTTATGTGACCTCAACCCTATTGAATTGTATTATTTTCCCCCAAATTATATATACCACATCAGTTTTTTTTTGGGGGGGGGGATTTATTTTTCATCAAGAGTTGGTTTTTATATTTTCACTTGACCGAGTAAACATTATTAACAATACGGCCTTTACTATATTTTAAATAACAAAGGAAAATAGTGGTAAAGGGTCGGTGAAATGTCGCCCTTTCGCCGAAACCGACGACACTGTCCAAACAAATGTTTTTTTAATAACCAAAAATGCAATATTATAAACGGTTTTTTAAGGACACTTGCATCAGCTCAAGGTTTACAATTTACACCACAGCGGGGTGTTTATTGCAAGTGCGGTAAAGTTGCCTGTTCCAGAGGTTAGCTGTAATAATATTATTATTATTATTGTACCGTAATCCAGAAGATGATGTAGCTGATGTCGATGAACGGGGCGGCATTGTTGCCTCAAAGTCATTTCTAAAACAATATTACCTACTACTGTTACATAAGGAAATGATGGGCATTCTGAACATGGCTACTCAACAGTAGTAATGATAATAAACATTGAATGGGTTAAATTCCAACATTCGCTCTCATCCGACCGGTTTAGGTTTCCTGTATCAGATGCAAAACCGACTATAGTCATTAAAATTAAATTTAAAAAAAAAACACACACACGCATCCAATTAGTGCCAATGTCCAATAATGTGCAATATTGAATAATATTACATCAATATTATATAATTATCACTCGTTATCAATAAATGCATGTTTACTAATGGACCGTGTGTTGTTGATGTACATAACATTAATCATGTATTTTGTTGAGAACCAAAAACGTCTCGAAGGTTAGAGCCGACGAAGAACAGACAGAGACAAACATGTCAATTAATAAAATGTCTACAATTTTAACACAAACGACCGGTCAAGTCCACATCAGACCGACACCTACGTCATGCCTGTGTGGTGTGGGCGAAGTAACAGTTCAATTTTCTTTTAAGCTCGTTATTTACATATTATTATGTCTTGTCTTTGTGCGACACGAGCACCAAACAATCGCATCGTCGTCGACAAACTAGAAGAATAATAATTATTGTCATAAAATTTTAAGAAAAAAAAATATTCGCCATTATGAGATTAACGTCTCTGAAATTGTGCAAAATCTTGTTTGGCTCGATCAAACTACAGTCGAAAAAAAAAAATACGGGAAGACTATAACTAGATTTTTTATTACAGTACAGGTTTGTCTCGAATTTTTTTTTTTTTTGATACCTATTTAAGACGGCGCAACGACCGACCTTGATAACAATTATTACTATATAGCGTGATAATATGCGTTTTAGACGGTGTGCTGCTGACAAACGGCCGAGGTCTCTTGGGGGTCATTAAAACAAACATTTGAATTTCCAATAAGACACCAAGTGCCCCATTCGATACTGAGACATTGGCAGTATATTGTGTTTCTTAAACGGTAATTGAATTGATGCGTTGGAACATATTTTGTTTGCGGTAAGGCTCTCATAATAATAGGTAGGACATACTTGCATTTTCTATATGTACCTATGCCGGTAATGATAGAATAATTAACAAGCTGGGTACGATGAAACAGCACATTGTTCGACAATACTAATATAAAATTATTATCGTTTTTTTAAATGTTTTTTGTGTGTGTGTACTGTGTACTGTGTTATATATCACTTTCTTTTCGAACATCTTGACACTAAGCGAAATCCATACTCACTTTTGTTGTTCGCCTTTGTTTGTTTACATATTCTATCCACACTATCCAACACCTATATTATATGGCTGCAGTTGTTTTTCTATTACTCATACTGGTATTGTTATTGTTTCACGAACAAATTAAAAACTTGTTTTTAAAAAAAAAAAATTATTAAAACTCGAGTGGGGCTACTATTGTATTTACACTACTTACACGATTTGCGGATACTCCAACTTGAGTAGCTCGACTTGTCTGCCAAAGACTTGTTTTTATTTAAAATAATTTTGATAAAACATAGTACATAATTAGCAAAACATTATTGTGATAACATATTCATACAATTACTTGACAATCAATGAGAATTACAATTATTACACAATGTCATAAAACGGTGCACACAATAATTTCTTAAGAATTCAAGTTAAAATACAAACAGTCACATTGATTGATTTTCTGTCGCAATAATTGTAGAAAAATGTGTGCGGTATTCTACAAATTTGACTACTTAATAATGATCTTAATATCATGTTATTCACAAACACCAAACAGTGTAAACTAATGGGGCTTTTTTTTTAACCTTTGCTTAAATTTGAAAATAAATATGCATAATCCATCAACTGGCACGCCCTAGACAGACTTAAACTCAATAGTTGTTAATCAAACTATTATTACAGTTAGATTCCTCGCTTAGATGTAATATTCCTATAAGAAATCGATTGGAACGTTCTGTGCGCTTTGGATAATTTGTGTATTTTTATTATAATATTCCAGAAAAATATACATTTAAAATGATTAGACTTAGACCGACTTTTACAAATTGATCTCTAAACTAATACATCTCTTTTCTAAACTATTTGCTTCCTTTAGACAATCTTGTAGTGGACAAAATATGCTAGCCACAAAAGGAAGAGGTTAGGTTACTCATTTCCTGTAATATTTCATTACCTCGATCACTATTGATTTGCATTTCAACCGAAACGAATTGACAATTATTTGCGTTTCATCTGATTTATTTTTTTCTCAGCTGGTGTAGTGTGTAAATATATTATTATTACTATTATAGCGACGGTCGGCCCAAAAAGGGATGAATGTCTACTACAGTACTGCGACCAACCGAATAACCGTACAGAATTCGATATTGCTAAATTTGTATTATGCATATATTATATTATTATTATTATCATTTTCGGAATTAACATAAAGCAGCTCATCAATAATTCATATGTAGGTACACAATTCGCAATGCGTCGGCTCTGCACAAAAAACCAATTTTATTTTTTCACCGGAAACTTTAAAATTTCGCCTAATTTATTACCATCTGATGGGTCGATTAAATTTGTAAAATATTCGTTTTAATTCAGCCTAAAGATTTTTTTAAAAGTTGTAAACGCGTTTTGTATAAAAAACAAAACCGAATAATTGTGGAATTCCCCTCGTCTCATCTGTTCCTAAACGCTTACAAATCAATTTGGGCTCGACCGAACCGAATTCGACCAACACAATTGAGATGTCGAGAGTACGTTTTTCGAATAAAGCAAAAAAAAATATACATATATGTACTTACCTAAATGCGCATGTGCCTAACCTACTGAACGACATCGTCCTGACGTATTTGACTATTACTTGCACGTCATCCCAACGAGTGGTGTTAGGACCGTGACCGGTTGTGTAATAACAGATAGGTAGATAATATAATTTTTCTCAAATCAATTTGCACACCGTTCGACCGCGAAAAGCTTGGATGGGGCCAAAACCGTGGGGGGGGGGTTTACTTGCGTAATGAACATCATTTGGGCTTTTATTCTACCCACAGGAGAGATCTCCATTGGAAAAGAAAGAAATCTCGACCAAAGTTAAACGGAGGGTGGAAAAACAATTGTTTTTTTTTTTTTTAATACTGTTTTATATAATGTTCTGCATTTAAATTATCAAAAAATGCATGTAAAGTTTTTTTAAAATAAACACAATTCTGAACTCACCAAATGATAGAATCTAATTTTGACTGTCTTAAGCCCTTTGAGGTAACGTCCCCTAGTCGGGTCTTAGCTTCCCTAAGCTTACACACATAATTAGGACTTTATAAATTGTATTTTTCCACTCTGATATTTTTACTAATAGTTAAATGTGTGTATTTACTAGTGTTTGTAGGATTATTTTAAGTGTATAAATTATAGAAATTGGTCGACTGGTGGCGAGCAGTTAAAAACTCAAATAAAAAGGCACCTATGCGAATACTGAATTAAAGATATATATCTCTCTATAGCTAGATAATATACCAATTCTACAATATTTAGCTATTGCTAAGTGTAGAGTCTCGATGGAATATTTAAGATTTCACGAGCTCTAAAATATATTTAAACGTTAATAATGTAGGTATTAGATACACGTTGAAACAGCAGAGACTATTGATAGATCATTTTTTTTTAATTATTATCTTTGTTTTTTTCATTCGAACACGAGATTATGTTACAGCTATTGATTTTAGTCGTATCACGGTACAGGGTTAAACGACAGCCTGATTGGCATACACAATATATGTATATATTTTTTTAACCTATCAATAAAAAACGATGACTTTCTTATCCAATTAATATGTAACAATTTAAAACGCGCAATTTTTTTTCACTTACAACGGGGTCAGCGCAAGTTTGTCGATTAATAGTTATTAATTTTCTATTTTTAAACATATTTAATCGCGTTTGAATATTTACTCTAGTTAAACAAACGAATAGCTTTTTTTTCTTCTTTTAATTAAAAACCGTTCAATATACCATCGAAACTTCATTATCGAATTTTACTTCAATCGGAACGTTAGTAATTAGTAAACTAATGTAGTTACCAAACAGGTTATGTATATTCTTTAAGTGTTATATAATTTTTTTTTTTTTACAACGACTTACAAAATACAGAACTCCGGATTAAACTCACAGCAACGGTGAGCATACTACATTAGTTTTAATTATTTATTATTTGCAATTGACGGATTGAAACATTTTGTTTTTTTATTAAATCACACATTTTGTTTTCTGAGTTTTTGTTTCCTGTACGACGCTTTTTTTTAAAATTTTTTTTTTTTAAGCACGTTAATATAATATTGAATACAAATGTTACACTTCATACACAGAACATAGGCACAACTACAATACAAAAGGGTGCCTAGGGAAATCTGTAAGACTGTCCAGTCTGTCATTGAAACACCAAGCAAAAATCATTATTTTTCTTAAAGCAGAAAACGAACGTTCAAAAAACAGGGCACAACCACTTAGTTAATTTGTATTAATTAAGTAGTTTTAGGGGAAACATAAAAAAATAGATAAAAATGTGGTTGCAGCCAAAAACCGCACACTTATAATTTCAATCCCAAAAAGGTAGGTAGACAAAAACCGCACACTTAATCAGTTGCTAGGTAGGTAAATTATACAGCCAAATACCGCACACTTATATTGGGTAAAAAAAAGGTACAACGTACAAGAGGTACGTAATAAATGTAAGGCTTCTAATGACATTCATGAGACACTTGAGACTCAATTTTAATTAAATTGGGTTTATTTTTTAAGAACACTTGTTTAAATGTTGGGAAGAATTTTTAGAGAGATTTTTTAAGAATTTTTAAGGACGGAGATCGTTTGAACTTTCTTAAAAACGTCGGTAATCAAGTACAGCCAAAAAAATTTTGATCATTTTTTTAAAAATTTTTATTAAATTAAATTAATTAAAATTTTTCAATACATAAGTTGTACCTAAAAAATGTTCTTTGAATAAATATTAAATCATAGTTTATACATCATTATAAAATGTGCGGTTTTTGGATACAGCAATTTTAAAAAGTATGCGGTTTTAACCTTATAAATGTGTGCGGTTTTTGGAGTCAACGAAAAATGTCTTATTTTAAATCTGTTATCTTTGTTTATTTTTTTTTATGCTACAAACAAATATTCTACACAGTTTTTTTAAATTTATTTTTTACATATTACTCAAGTTTAAAAAAATACAGGTAATAAGTCCATAATTAAACAAAGAAAATGTATTTCCTTATTCACTAATAACTTTATTCGCGTGTATGTTAAATAAAAAATGCCCATCTCCGCCCTTATACGGAATTGCAAGAAAACTTCTTTGGGACGTTTTAAAGGGACAATTAAAATATACAATAATAATCCACCGACAATGTCTGGTATAGTAATCGTCTGTGGATTTCCTTCCTATAAACCTTCCAATGTCACAGTTGTGCACGCTGTACGCGTCCAGTCAGGTGACTCATACCTACCTATACCGTTTTGGCAGTTTAATTATTATTATTTTTGATTGACTGGTTTTGAAATTAACTATTTCCATGACTCACGTGCCGTTTAATATGTGACCGTGGAAACGTACAAGTCATATCCATATTATTTAGTATACTTACACGTTTACGGTTTCACATTTTCTACATTTTCTTCTGGACAATAATAATAGGTACTTATGTGACTAGGTTTTTCAGACAGACAAAACGTAAGCCTACACAATGTCCCGTGGTTGTAACCAAATAATTAGATAACATAGTTAATTTATTCGACTGCCACCGTCCTACCACCACCATTTTGAAAACTAATGTCATAATTGCATGTTCAAAAAAAACATACAGAGGAGCAGCTAATGCGTTTTTTCCAACTATTATAATCACACAAATTTCTATAGTTTCTTGGCTTTTACTCTCTTTGGACTTTTTGTACATCACACGCCTGCCTTTGAATTTTCATACATTTTACACACAACTATAAAATACTTACTAATATATTATCTATGTGAGTATACGGGGAGATTCATTCAGTTAGGATAAGACACTCGATTTGAAACAATATTGAAATGGGATTGGGGCGACCGGCAACGGTTAAGCTGGTCAGGGTTTTTGAGTGTGAAATCGACGGAAAATATATTATCTATTATTATTGTGTGCACAGAAGGTCGATTGGATTTTAGCCGTTTTTCGAGAATATAACGACCAAACCGATTAACCCAATTATTTCGCTTTCCGTTTGCAGTAATTAAACGCTAGGTGGTTATTAAACACACAGCAATACAATTTATAATAATATCGCGCTAAGGTATTTAGAGTACATTTGCTACGACCATCTTCTTCTGGTAATTAAACGCCAGACGGAAACCGGTATTCGCCATTAATATATTATATTATTATTATTATTATTACTGTCCGTTGGATTGCAAACGAATTTAATGTACTTTCGAAATGCCGCGGTGTGCACAACACTATATTATAATATTATAACTTGTACTGTAAAAGTTTCCCAAAAATTAAAAATGTGATCAATAAAAAATCTATTATTACTATAACCGTTTGTAATATTAAAATACAAACTGTTCATTCAAATAGTGTATGATGTTTAATCTCAATACTCTACACTTGAGTCATACTTAGAATTGTTATTGTATTATTGTAAGTTTGTCATTAACACATTATAAGTTCCCAAAAAAAAAAGGATCAGATCATGTCAATATTCACATTAACATCTATTTTATCTCTTGTCTCTTATCACTTAATATATTAATTTGTCTCGGCCACTCATTATCTCACTGGGTTTAATTAATAATTTTTTTTTTCAGTGTTTTTATACAATGTGATATCAATCTGCCATCCATTCTTATCAATAGTTAGCAATCTATATGTATTTTCAATATCTGTGGTATTCCTATCTTTTATTTCTAAACCATTATCACTAATCTCTTATCTCAACAGTAAGCGTACCGCAATAAAAGAGGCGACGTGAAATTTCTTGCCAGTCCAATAACATATTTAGGTTGAAATATAATTTTTTGACGTTAAGTAGTACAAGTGTTCATTTCGAGACAAGTCCGGGAAGATGAGTTTTGCACGCAATCGTTTGGCTTTAAATACTATTATCGTTAGACAATACCTACTTATATATATGTTAACCGTCGAGGTACAGTATTGCTTTTCCACTATCTGCCGTGCACTTCAAACGCTCTCATCTATTCTTCCTTAATGCGGAATCTATTTCAAGATCAGGGATTCCACGGTAACGGCATTGATAAAAGTTTAAATCATGATGAATGCGACCTTCCACACATTAGTATGGCGGTTAGGACTTGTTGTGTGCTTTCTTGCCCGCAAGACGTCGTCGTCACGATTTTCATCATTTTTCTTTTTTTTTATGTACACTTTTTTTCCTCTACGATTGCGCAATCGGTCGTTATATTATTTTGTTGGACGAGCAACGATGGTGTACATTTTTATAGTACATTTAAAAAAAAAAAAAAAATGATAATGATAAATTGTTAACGCATTATCTACGGTATCAAAAAAAAAGAATATATATATATATATAACAAAAACGCGCGTAAAATAATAATTACAATATCTCAAGTATATATTATAATAATATAGATTATTCATGTTGGATTACAGCGCGGCTGGCTGTTATACCTACCTTGACAATTACCAGTTTTGGCCGTCGGCCATCGTTCGATTACAATGCCCCCACAGCCAAAGTACATAGGTACATATCACATAAAAAGTCACTTGTTTCATTGGAACAAGAAAGCCGGATAATAATGTTTAATTAACATACTGCTTGTACGGGTTTGCACGAAATCGGTCGACAGAACAACACACAGAAATATAGGTACCTAAAATGTAGACTGCCGAATTTAGATTTCGAAAATGTTCAATACAACATTGTCGTGAAACTTGACCCCTGACTTCCGCCTTTGGTCTCAGCTGTTAATAATTTAACCCGGTAACGCGTCCAGTTGAAAAATAAGATAATAATGTGATGATAGGTCAACTGCCCTGCCAAAGCTGGACAGCATCGCGGGTACGTTAAATGGTATATCCGCGGTAATTATGATATCACGTTTAATGTTTATAGTGAATCTTGTATTTGTTCGTGTGCAAAAATCGTGTTGTCGTGGGCTTAGAATAAGAATGCTATAGTACTAGCATGTCATTGTTTACATTTTCAGAGAGAGAGAGAGAGAGAGATTTTTCCACCTTTCTCACAAAAGATCTTGTATTTCCTTAACTAATTATCTTATTGACTCATAAACGGGTTTGTTTTTATTAATTTTAAGCTTAAAAGATGCGAAGAAAAATATTAGTAAAAAAATCTAGAAATAATTTCTTAGTTTTTTTCTAAATATTAACCCCTCGAACTTACCCCACTGCTACCCTTTTATTTCATAACAACTATGATAATCGTTCAAGGATAGGTTAGATCAAGTTCTTAATCGTATTGTACTTAAATGACTTGACTCGGTGAATAGATTTTCATCGATTATTTTCTGTTCATAAAAAAAAAATCAAATTTGATCAAAAGTTAAAAAGCTATTGCATTTTTGTTTTTATAATTAACATGAAAAAACTGAACTATGTAATTATATAACAAACTATGTAAGGTTTTTTTTTTTACTATCACTTTTACTATCTTCAATTATTATTTATATTTTACTTTATAATTTTTTTTTCTGTCATCGTGATCATGACTGATTGACACGGACCCTAAACTTATCTGATTAAAAGAGAGGTCGTTATTTATAGTTAAAAGAAAAAAAATTACCAATTTTTTTAAAACATTTTTGCTCGTCCAAAGTTTTTCGGGAACGATAACAATAAAATTGAGACAAAAAAAAATGCGGTGGAGACCAAAAACAAAGAAACCTTCAAGTCGTTAATAATGTAACATAACATATTATTACAATAATTGTCTTATTCACTTTCGGACCATAAAACTAAAAAACTTAAAGTTTTAAAATAGATATTTCAAAATAAATAACAATATTTTTAAAGTAGAAATGTGTGTACTGTATTATGTAATATGTATTGTAATGAATGATGGGAATTAAAAAAGGTATAAGTGGTTTTTGTGAAAATTGACAGGAAGACAATTAGAAAACGGTATTGAACATGTTTTTTTTTTT